AGCCCGATGCGGGACTCGATCCCGGGACTCCAGGATCATGACCTGAGCCGAAGGCAGTCGCTTAACCAACTGAGCCACCCAGGCGCCCCTGAAACAAAAATTTCAAAAATATTTTTTATTACATAGGTTACAATAGTTGTACTAGAAATAAACAGTTGACTGGAAACCTTTGCAGAGAGCTAATGACTGACAATGGCTCAAACTAAGCACTTCCTTATCTGAAGGAAAAATTAGTATTAAAGTTTGTATTTTGATTAAGCAAAATTTTATCAGTGTTTCTTAATGTGTCTAGAAAGAATAATCTACCAGTAGCACCCTATCTTGGCTATTTTCAGACTGATATCCTAGGCTACCAATCATCTCAGCTCTAATTTTCTCCTTACTTGCCTATTTCTTTGATTATTTTGTACCCTGCCAGCATTCTCATAAAGAAAATTGTAACAAATTTATGTATTTTATTTCTAGTTGAGAACTCTGGAAAAGGGCTTGGTAGAGAGGGCTTTGAAACTAGTTGCTGAAATATAGTTGAATTCTCTGAAGATTTAAAATAATCAGACTATTCCTGTCCCCATTTTTATGCTAATCATGGTCTTTTCACACTTGGTATTTAATTGGTCTCATCTGTAACAGTACAATTAATACAGGGTAACTCAGATTTGGTCTTTCTAGAATAAAATAAAAATGTCTGTACTTTAAAACAAATTTCCTCTTATAGATAGGAAGATTGAAGGGAAAATTATAAGGATCACTTGTATTAGAAATTCAATTTCAGGGCGCCTGGGTGGCTCAGTTGGTTAAGCGACTGCCTTCGGCTCAGGTCATGATCCTGGAGTCCCGGGATCGAGTCCCGCTTCGGGCTCCCTGCTCAGCAGGGAGTCTGCTTCTCCCTCTGACCCTCCTCCCTCTCATGTTCTCTGTCTCTCATTCTCTCTCTCACAAATAAATAAAATCTCAAAAAAAAAAAAAAAAAAGAAATTCAATTTCAGTCTCAGTGATAAAAATGCAGATTAAAATACAATATTTTAATAATCTGTTACAGTGAAAAAGAGGATAAACATGATAATTTTCAATGCTGATGTGTGATACGGGGATATAAGATCATTTGCGTTCCTCCAATGGAGTTGTATATTTGAATAATCATTCAGGAGTCTGAAAGAAGTAAACACCTTTGTTCTAATTTTGGAATTCTAGCCTATAGAAATAATTAACAATGTGGACATTTATATTTATTGCGGTATTATTAATAATTTGAAAGCTGGAGATTACCTGTGAGTCTTATTTTTTTAAAGATTTTATTTATTTATTTGACAGAGATAGACACAGCAAGAGAGGGAACACAAACAGGGGGAGTGGGAGAGCGAGAAGCAGGCTTCCCGCTGAGCAGGGAGCCTGATGCGGGGCTTGATCCCAGGACCCTGGGAACATGACCTGAGCCAAAGGCAGACGCTTAACAACTGAGCCACCCAGGCCCCCTACCTGTGAGTCTTAAAACATGAAAATCATGGCACATTCATAAAATGGTACATTGTGCAACTATTAAAAGTTATGTTTCAGAAGAGTAATAACATGGGAAAAATGATAGTGATAGAAGCGGAGGGAAAAGAAAAAACACTGTGCGTGTGTGTGTATACATTTATATTGTTTTCTGAGAGAGATTTCTGTTTGGTCCCTATAACAAAGCTATATCCTCATTAGATTTTTGTTTTTGTACTATGGGTTTTTTTGGCTATAGTTATTTATTTTGCTATATTAAAAATTTGATTAAAAAATGATCCAAATTACTATGGCTATTTCACAGTATATATATGTCACAGTCATATATATATAGCATTAAAAACATGTTTGGTATAATAGTTAAGAGTTATTATGAATAATAACCATCAGAAGGTAAGCAAAAATGAAATATGTTTTCATTGCTGAGTAAAAGGAAATAAGAAATAATTTTACTAGTTGTTACAAGTTTATACCCTTAAACACCATCAATTTATCCTACCAAGCCCCTTCCCCTGGTAACCACCATTTCACTGTTTGTTGTTGTTTTTTGTTTTTACAGGCATGAATTTTTTTTTTTGATTCCACATGTAAGTGATATCCACATTACTTATCTTTCTCTGACTTATCTTGGTTAGCATAATGTGCTCAAGGTCAATCCATGTCACAAATGGCAGAACATGTACATGCAGAACAATGAAAATGGACACCTATCTCATACCACTCATAAAAATTAACTCAAAATGGGTCAAAGATGTAAACTTAAGACCTTATATCATAAAACTCCAAAAGAAAACATAGGGAAGAAACCTATCAATTATTTCAGCAATGATTTTCTTAGACATGACACCAAAAGCACAAACAAAAGCAAAAATCAACAAATGGGACTAATTCAAACCCAAAAGCTTCTGCACAGCAAAAGAAACAATAAAAAAAAAAATAGCACCAAGAAATAAATCTATACTTACATGGGCAATTAATCTATGACAAAGGAAGCAAAAATATACAATAGGGGAAAAGACAGTCTTTTCAACAAATGGTGCTGGGAAAACTGGACAGCTGCATGCAGAAGAATAAAACTGTGCCATTTTCTTACACCATACACAAAAACAAACTCAAAATGGATTAAAGATCTAAATGTGAGACCTGAAATCATAAAACTCCTAGAAGAAAACAGGCAGTAATTTCTTTCACATTGGCCTGAGCAACATTTTTCTAGATACATCTCCTTGGGCAAGGGGAAAAAAAGGCAAAAATAAACTATTGGGACTCCATAAATAAAAAGCTTTTGCACAGTGAAGAAAACCATCAACAAAACAAAAAAGCAACTACTGAATGGGAGAAGATATTCACAAATGATATATCTGATAAGGGATTAATATCCAAAATATATAAACAACTTACAAAACTCAAAACCAAAACCCAAATAATCTGATTAAAAATAGGCAGAGGGTCTGAATAGACATTTTTCCAAAGACATACAGATGTCAAACAGACACATGAAAGGATGCTCAACATCATTAGTCACCCAGGAAATGCAAATCAAAGCCACAATGAGGTATCAGATGACACCTCTCAGAATCACTGGAATCAAAAAGACAAGTGTCAGCAAGGGTGTGGAGAAAAAGGAACACTTGTGCACTGCTGGTAGGAAGATAAATTGGTGCAGCCACTGTGGAAAACAGTATGGAGTTTCCTCAAAAAACTTCAAAATAAAAATACCATACGATTCAGTAACTCCACTATTGGGTATTTATCCAAAGAAAATGAAAACACTATTTACAATAGCCAAGATACAGAAGCAACACAAGTGCCCGTCTATAGATGAATGGATAAAGAACATGGAGTTTTGTTTTTGTTTTTTTTTTTTAAAGATTTTATTTATTTATTTGATAGAGAGAGACACAGCAAGAGAGGGAACGCAAGCAGGGGGAGTGAGAGAGGGAGAAGCAGGCTTCCCGCGGAGCAGGGAGCCCGATGCGGGACTCGATCCCAGGACCCTGGGATCATGACCTGAGCCCAAGGCAGATGCTTAATGACTGAGCCACCCAGGTGCCCCAAGAACATGGAGTTTACACACACACACACACACACACACACACACACTGGAATATTCCTTAGCCATAGAAAAGAATGAGATCTTGCCATTTGTAACAACATGGATGGACCTAGAAGATACAAAGCTAAGCGAATAAGTCTGACAGAGAAAGACAAATACCATATGATTTCACTCCTATGTCGAATCTAAAAAACAAAACAAACAAACAAAAAGCAGAAATGGACCCCTAAATACAGAGAACTGCTGGTTGCCAGCGGGGAGGGTGTTGAGGGGATGCGCAAAATGGGTGAAGGGGAGTGGGAGGTACAGGCCTCCGGTTATGGAATGGATAAGTCACAGGAATAAAAGGTACAGCATAGGGAATAAGTCAATGATATTGCAATAGTGTTGTATGATGACAGATGGGAGCTACCCTTGTCGTGAGCACAGCATAACATACGGGTCTTGTCTAATCATTGTTGTACACCTGAAACTAATATAACATTGTGTGTCAACTGTACTTCAAAACAAGCAAACAAACAAACAAACACACGAAAAACCCCAAAGGAAACAATAACAACGGCAAAAAAATGAAAGGGCAGCCATGGGAGAGAATTTTTGCAAACCATGTATCGAATAAAGAGTTAATATCCAAAATATACAAAGAGCTAACCACTTAATAACAAAAAAAATCTGATTAAAAAATGGGCAGAATACCTAAATAGACATCTTTCTAAAGAGGACATCAAAATAGGCAACAGGGCCTATGAAAAGATGCTCAGTGTCACTAATTATCAGGGAAATGCAGATCAAAACCACGATGAGAGATCACCTCACACCTAATAGAACAACGGCACCAAGAAAACAAGAGATAATGGGTGCTGGCCAGCATGTGGTGAAAAGGGAACTCCTCCACGAATCACGTGTGTTTTCCCTCTGGCTAAAGCCAGTTTTGCCAGCACAGATGGTCACGTCAATTGGCAGGTAAATTTGAGATGAGATTTCTGCCTTTGCGATCTCTTAGTGGATTGCCTGTGATACGTAACGCATTCTGGTTTAATGTTTACTGGATAATAAAACTGTTTTCTCTACTGCCTTCGTGGAGAAAACTTCGGGGTTGGGAAAATATTTTGCTTCGATGCTTCTCCAACAATGTACTAGCACCACGGGGGGCGCCTGGGTGGCTCAGATGGTTAAGCGTCTGCCTTCGGCTCAGGTCATGATCCCGGGGTCCTGGGATCGAGCCCCACATCGGGCTCCTGGCTCAGCGAGGAGCCTGCTTCTCCCTCTCCCTCTGCCTCTCTCCCTGCTCATGCTTTCTCTCTCTCTCTCTGTATCTCTGTGTCTCAAATGAATAAATAAAATCTTTAAAAAAAAAATATACTAGCACCACGGAAGTGAATAAACCACTGCACTATACAAAAGAACATGAATCTCACAAATGCAATGCTGAGAATAAGATGCCAGACACACAAGAGCACAGACTGTGTGATTGCATTCATACGATGTTCTAAAACAGGCAGAACTAACTTAGGGTGTTGGAAGTCAGGACAGTCTTTAGCTTGGTGGAAGGGGTTTGGTTAGTCTCTAGAAGAGGACACAAAGTGGGGTTTCTGGGCTGTCAATAATGTTCTGGGTCTTGATCTGGGCACTAATTACACAGGTGTGCTCAATGATGAAAGTTCATTGAGCAAATACTCTGATTTCTGCATGCTTCTGTGTGCATACTAATAATTTCAGTGAAAGTTTTCAAATATGCTTTTCCTATTTACTCATCGATTGGTTCCAGAATTATACTTTCAGGATCACTAGAGTCATGAATAAGATTTTCGTTGTACGAAAATGAAAGGTAAGTAAAGAAGACACATTTTGTTTTCTAGATTTCATCCAAATCTCACATCTGGGTAAAAGGATTTGATTTTCTAGAAATCATAAGGGACTATAGTCACAGGAAGAAACATGTCATATGTGTGGATGACTTCTAGTATGATGTAACAAGATATAATAAAGGAACCAATAATTATTTGTAAAGCATAAAATTGTTCTAATTTTTAACTCTTGTACACAAAACGTGTCTTTAAGTGACAGAGCAAAGACATTTTCTTCTCTAGACTCCAGCAAATACCTTAATCTAAAAGTAGTTAAGATGATAATATTTTGGTGACTTGTTTTAAGCAAGGTAGAAAAAAGAACTGTAGTGAAAAGCAAAACATTGTTTATTGTTGTGGCTCCATGTGATTAGCACTGTGATAAGTTCTGGGAATATTAAACAAACAAACCCTCCAAAACCTTTGTCTCAGGAACTCAGAATCTCGTGTAAAAACCAGACATGCTTGTTCAATTAACTAACAATGCAAGTGGCTGGGAACTTCTCTAAGAAAGGTCACTTAAAATTTTGTTTTCTATATTTCAGTAATCCTTCCTACCCTTGAAAATTTCAGCTACTGGAAGAAATAGAGAAAGAAACTAAACATTTTCAAATATCATAATAAAAAACATACTTTAAACTCCACCATGACACATTTCTTCTTGAAGACGGCCACCCCCTTCTCTTTCTCATGGGCAGACAGCTGAGAAACTGTTTGCTAAGCCAAGTGTCAGTCTTTACACCTTCATTGATTTCATATTCAAGGTTGTAAAATAACGGTACTAACAAGAAATTGCTCAGTCTAAGAATATTCAAAAATTAGCAGAGTTCGACTGTGGTAAATGAAAGGAATCTAATTCAGATTTTCAGGAGATTCTCATTTTGAGTTTCTAAAAAGCAATTGTTCACTGCAGGTGACAAGTATTAAACTGAATTTCCTTTGTGGGTATGAACAGTCAAGAAACTGAAGTATCTAGCTTCATATTGATCAATAAAGTTGGAGAGGGCCATGATTGCAATGAACTATTTTCTTTGTTCAAGAAGTAATTTCATGTTAGATCCTATCCAAAATATGTTTCAATACCAAACTAAAATTCATCTCACTGATAATGAAATGAAGTTTTGTTCTCTTATACACTTACTGTTAAGTAAGGTCTTAATTCCTTTATTTATTACAGTAGCCAAGTGTAAAATAAGGTATTTTATCTAAATAAAAGTAACACAATCACAGCAAGGTATTTTTAAAAACCTTGTTACTTGACAAATTGTAACTATGTATATATCAAAATGTGCATTTGTAACTTTTGGAATGCTAGTTTACAGAGGGTAAGAGTCCGGTCTTTTAGGGGTATTAACTATTCTTCTCATACCTCCAATCACAAATACATTTTGCAAATGATCATCAGAGATAAATGTTTCCTCCTTTTAGAATTACATTATAATCCTGTCTCCCTGTAAACAATTTCCTGGCAGGCTGAATTTGGTCACATCTATTCCATTTCTCACCCTCAAATTTACTTCTAGTACAATGATTAGTCAAGCTCACATTAGCCAGAGCCGTCACACTCACACCATTCTGTAACAACAGTGAGAGACACCAATTACTATTGAATTTTCATGCATCAGTTAGTATTACTCCTAATTAGTATTTCTTTTACATACCTTTTTGCTAAAATCTCTGATTTCTCTGAATTTTCAATAGACAGGATGTAAAGGTTAATAAACCAGGTCAGTGAGTATTGGTACATGGGCTCGATGTTAGCTAGATCAGCAATGGAGAAGAACAGGATGGTGGAATGGATGGCAATAGGCCGATAGCCCATGCGGGTGTTATCTATCTTCTTCTCTGTCTCTTCTGCTACTTCCTGCTTTTGAGAAATCTCATTAGCCAAAGCCTTGGAGGAAGATAATATCTTAATAGCGGTTTCATCTTCTAATATATTGCCTTCCGAAGATGAAAGAACTTCTAAAATCTTGTCTTCTATTTCTTTTAACTGCCTGGAATAAAACAATTTTCTCAGAAGAAAAAGAAATCATTTAAATTCACTTCACGCACACACTCTTGTCTAGGAAACCAAGAGCTTGTAACCTAAAGAAACGCATCACTTTGTGACAAAACACCCGTAACGGTGATGTTGTATATAATTAATTTCTTATCTTACAAAATGTCAAAAAGATGGGACTTTCTGCTCCACTTCTCTTTCTGACAATCATTTACGTGGTAACTAGAGGGAGAGGTGTAAGCCGATCTGCTCTGCCATCAAGTGTCTTGGCCCTGAGTGAACTGAAAGTATCACTCCATTTATTTTCTAACATTTTTCATGACTTCTAGAGCTTTACCCTTTGTACCTATGGTAGAGATATTACGAGCAGAAAGCGGGATGTGGTGTGTTCATTCAGACTGGGCTCTGGTGAAAAGAGAGAACATCAGTTACATCATCAATACTAAAACTTTTGTGCTAAGACTTTGTTGAGTAGTTGAATATTCATTGCCATGACTTGTGATAGACCTTCCAGTTCTTCCAGTGCCTGAGAACTTGTTTGTAAAAATATACTCTTACGCAGTTTTCCAAATTAACATAGAGGCATTGTAATGCCTTCTATTTTCCTCTTACATCTCCCTATTCAATGCACCTACTAAACCTAACAGAATAGATCTTTAAAATGTACTTTAATCCATTCTAAGTGATCTTGAAACAAGAACAACTCTGTGGGTTTTTTGTTTTTGTTTTTTTTTAGAAAGAGAGCGCATGTGAGTGGGGGATGGGGCAGTGGGGGGAGGGTAGGAGAAGAGAGAATCTTAAGCAGACTCCGCGCTAGGCATGGAGCCTGAGATCATTACCTGAGCCAAAATCAAGAGTCCAACACTTAACCGACTGAGCCACCCAGGCACCCCAACAATTCTGTGTTTTATAATGTTTGAAACCTTTTGTTTTCAGCTCCTTGCAGTATCAAGGCTTGTTTTTCTTCTTCAAGGTCTGGCCTCTCTCGTGCCACCACAATTCCCAACAGCTGATCTTGCATTCCCTCAGAAGTGATCATGAAGTTTAATAATGTTACCTATAAATGAAACATACAAGAATTGCACCATTATTTCTATTGAGAAAGCCTCCACTTTTATAAGTTCTGACCTTAAAATTAACTCTATTTACTATAGTAGTATATGTGAAAAGTGGAAATTTGTAGAGATTATGATTAAAGATATAATAATATAATATTTCAAAGGGTTTTGTGTGGTGATCAATTTATTCCTGTTTCAAACTGATCCAATTTCTGACAACTGTTTAATCCCCAAATCAATTAGAATCATACTGCCTGGATGAGCTAATTTACATGTTATGGATCCAGGTGGTATCAAAAAGTAAAGGAAATCTTATCAAGTGAGATAGGAGGAAAAAGAACACTGTTATTACTTGTTATGCACACATATATTTACAATGTGACAATCATATTACATGCTATATAATGTATGATATACAATGTATATAATATTACAATATGGCCTATTATATAATCATATTACAATATGAACAGCCACTATTGTGACTTAGGGAATGTACATTTTAATGGTGTCCATCAAGGTGAAATCTATCAACACGTACTTTATCCCAGTATATAATGGCTCTTACAGGTTCTGTTTCCTACATCTTAAAATTCCTCCTCCCCTAGTTCTTTCCCATGAGTGGGACAGTAATCATGCTGAGGTCTCTTTTTCACATAGCAAATAAATAATTCATTCTCTTTCTCCCACAATCCCTCCCAGCTACAGAATGATCTCTCTTTGTGCCTTCACAACTATACTTATTGAAAATGTTATTTATATATGCTTTCTGTCTCTACCTCATTCCATTCTTCAGTGCTCTACAATCTACTCTCATCCCAGCCTCCATACACCCATCAATACACACAGCAATAAACTATAGAAACTCTCTGGTTCTGGTCATCAATGAACCCATAGGTCAATAAACACTTACTTGACCTTGGCTTAATTTGAGTCTCCCTACCCCCCACCCTGGCCTTTTTAATCATCTATTTTGCAATCTGCCTGCTCTCTGCCCTGTGTCTTGAGTTCAGGTCCATACTTATGTCTTGAGCATCACCTCCCATACCTCCTTTCCACGTGCCTTTCATTTCTGCTACGCTAAACTTCTGGTGGAATCCCATGCACACTGGCTGTGAAATGTCTGCATGTGCTTCAGCTCTGGCTGCTAAGTGGGAGACTCTATGTTTCCCCACCTTTCCTAGTAAGAGAATTTGAGAATATTCCCTCTGCAAGAACAGAGTAATTCCATTCCTGTAAGAAAATGTCCTATGACAGAGATCAGAAAGTGTAAGACAGTTTCTGGCAGTGCCCCTAGGAAGCTGACCCCCTCCTCTGCCCAAACCCAGCAACTTCTCCATGGTGGCTTCCTCTTGCTTAAATTCCCCCCCCACACACACCCTCATTTGACCTGTGGTAGGCCTTGGATAGCACTAGGGATAGATTACATGAGCATAATCATACATTTAGATGGGAGAATAAGAAATTCCTGACATCGAGCAATTAAAAAAACTCATTAAATGCTATTTTGTAATTCTCTATTGCTTTGTCATATATTCATGGGAAAAAAGAAAGCTTTCAAGAGATTTTCCCTCTTGACATGAGAAACCAAGTGCACAAGTTATATTTGCTTTAACCCCCAAACCATAGTCATAATATTGAGGGAAATGTATGTTTTATAACTTTTACCTCATTGTATTCAGACCCAAGGAGGTATTCATTCTTATGTCATTAACGCTGCATCTCAAGATTTTTGTAAGTCTAGGTATTTGCTCACAAATAAACATTTAAACAAATAATAAAGAAACATTTCAAATTCTACAACATATAATTTCATAATTTTATTTTCATTTAGATTCAAAAGGATTATAGCAGCATGATATCATCCCTTGGGTACTTTTGAAAGCAAAGGTACATAAAAGACCCTAAAAATAGGATTTAGAGGAAGTATTTTAATTTGTAAATGAAAGCAAGTAACTGCCTCACTATGTTTTCTAATCCCTGTTTAATCAATCCCAGCAATTAAAAATAATGAAGCAATAAGACACCCTAGGGATCTCAAGGATTTCAATACTGAATCATAGATCAGTTTCTTCCCCACAGCAGTTTATGACTCCTATAACTAGTTACTGGTGAACTAAGAACTGTTAGTTATTTGTGAAATTTACATAGATCTTACTGAAAAGTAAAAATGGTTTTCCAGGTCATCTGTTAAAAAAAAATTTAACACAGCTTTGGGATTTTAACATTTTCTTTTATGTTCCATTCTTTCTTATTTATATTTAAAAGTTAAATAATAATGTTAATCGTTCACACTCATATAACACTATGTGCTGGCCCTTATTCTAAGCCTTTACATAGATTAATTTATTTAGTCTTTGTACCACTCTATGAGATGGATATTTATAATTCCCGTTTTCTAGACTAGAGAGTGGAGGCAGAGAGATTAAATAATTTGGCTAATGTCACACAATTGGCAAATGATAAAGTTAGGATTTGAACCAAGGTAGTCTGGCTTCAGAATCCATGTTCTTAATTACTACTAGATACTACCTCTCTTAATAGACAATACACAATTGTTAGGTGCTTAGATAACATTTATTTTAATTAGATTAAAAAAGTGGCCAAGAATTTCCATATTTTAACATTGTGTTTTTAAAACTAACCTCAAGGGTTACCCCACTTTCCCCCAGTCTTCTTGGCTTCTCCGAATGTCCAGTCTAAAGTATGTCCCCAATTTTGAGCTCCTGTGTTTTCCTAGTCATAAAAATAGTCACTTAACATACACATTATTTACAATGTAAACCTCTTGCGAGCAGTGACCATGTTTATTCATCTTGGAGGGAATGAATTATGTCATCTTTGTGCATCCTCTACCTCTTCAGAGAGATGCCTACATTAATTTAAATATTTCCAATAAACGACAGTTTTTGAACTCTCTAAGTCTTGTCTCCATATGCAACTTTCAAAATCTGAATCAACATTTCTTAATGCCCTCTCCTGCTAGCTTCTGTAAATGAAAGTTGTCCCTCCTTCCCTTGCTCATTCCATAAACATTGATCAAGTGCCAACCTTATCGAGTGCTAAGATTTGGGAATAAAAAATGGAATGATCTCCAGGAGCTCAGTCGCAGATTAATGTCTCAAGTAATTTTAGACATGGACTAAAACGTTAAACTTTGTTCTTGAAAGGAATTTCTAGTATTTTCAAAGAACCACTGATAAAAATCAGTTTTTTTAAGTAATTATATAAAGTCAGATAGCAGCAACCTTATTCTGAGAAAGAAGAATGGATTTTTGTTCATTCCAATGCCAAGAATTATATTATCATTTATTACAAAGGAGGTACATATATGTCATCTATTCTTAACAATGAAATTCTAAGAACAATATCAATTATAGAAATTAGATTCTCAAAGTCTTTTTTTCACTGCACAATGAAGGCTCCTTTATTACTTACATGCACACACAAAATAAACATTTGGAAATAATTATAGCAATTTCGGGAAATGCCAAAAAAGGACAAAATATATTTTTCTTAGGAAGACCTGTTCTTCTTATGCCTTAGGAGGAAAATATAGTCACTAATTATAAAATTCAATAAAGAAATATTCACTTTAGATACTGGCCTTTACTGATGTTTCAGGAAGATAATGAGGATTTCTTAGCTTGGTAGTAATATAGAAGCGGAAATCTGGTGCGTATTCAATGGTAGAGTCCCCAAGTCGGATACATGTACTCCCACCCTGCTTAAAGGTCTGTTTTAGTAGAAGAGGTTCCAGAATAGGATCTAGTTCTTCTCCAACATTTTCTAGCAACACTGGAGTAAAATCAGAAAAAGATGCCATGTTATTTTAAATACTGACTGTAAACATTCAACCCTCCAAATTCTTGCAGCTCCTAGATTGCTATTATTCCTGGTTACCTATAAAATTATTTTTGTCCTCTCAGTATAAGGAAATGGTGTCATAAAAAATAATTGTATGCCTGCGGGATGGGTTGAAATGGTGGGTCTATCTGGTCCTTTTGCGTCATCCTTCCATACATCTTGGCTATAGTCCTATTCGGGGCTCCCCACCTGGTCTGCCATCCACTGTATGTCCAAGTATGATGGCAGGGAGGTATATCTGTCTGAGACACCAGAGAATAAGCATTTCAAGTTGTAGTTATTTAAATGGTTATTATATTTTTAATTATAAAGTAACTCATGCTTATTGTAGAACATGTGGAAGTGTAGGAAAGAATAAAAGTGTTAAATAAGGAGGCCGTTAGACCAAGTTGGCTCTAATGCTATGGTGATCTAAGGAAGCAAACCAAAATCTAAGCTTATGAAGGTCTCAAGGTGACAAGGTCAAATCAAAATCAAAATCCTAAGGATAACCAAATACAAACAGCCAATGAAATTTTAAGCTATTGCCAATCAAATAATTTCTTTTCTTTGCTCCCTACTTGCTCTTTCTCCCCAGCTCTGGACAGTGGAGCACCCTAACCACTTCCAGTTTGGCAATGCCCAATTCCAACTAATTTTTCCTCAAATAAACTCTTAGAATGTTTAGTATGGCTCAGCTTATCTTTTAAATGTTTTACATAATTGACTCATACTCATATATAGCTTGATAGAAAAATGACACAAAACTATGTTTGATAATTAGTTGAATAAATTTTTCGCTTTGGCATTTTTATTAATCTTTTTCTATACACAATTGAGACTAAACAATAGATCCAATTTTGCATCCTAATTATTTTGCTTGATATTATACCATAAATATTCCAATTAAAACTAATAAACATGCTTTTAATTACTGCATAATAGTCTCATATTAATTTTATCTCATTTTTAAAGTCAATTCTCTATTGTTAGATATTTGGATTGTTTTCTGTTCTCAAAATTACAAACAGCACTGTGTACAAAAACTTTGTGCTTAAGAATTTTTTTTTTAAAGATCTATTTATTTGACGGAGAGAGACAGTGAGAGAGGGGACACAAGCAGGGGGAGCGGGAGAGGGAGAAGCAGGCTTCCCGCCGAGCAGGGAGGCTGGCGTGGGACTCCATCTCAGGACCCTGGGACCATGACCTGAGCCGAAGACAGAACTTAATGACTGAGCCACCCAGGAGCCCCTTAAGAATATTTTCTTATGACAGCATTCTAGAAGGGGAATCCGTGGATGAAATCTCAGTGACATTGTTAAGGTTCATGATACATTTGCCAAACTAGTCTTATATTTTGGGGCTTGGGGTGCTACTGCAGCCAACCTTGAATAATGGTGTTTTGCACAAGTCCTTTGAGGTCCTGGATGTGCAATCTTGATGGGAAAGGGCATCTGGATGACAGGTATTTGAACCTCTATTGCCATTAAAGTACAGATGTACTCTGCCCCTTCCCAGAGGTTACACCTGGCTAAATGAATTCCTAAAATTGTCTTGTCAATTTCCTTCACTGCCAACATCTTAATTAACCAAAGCAGGCATGGCAGATGATTTTAAAATTCATTTTCATTTTCTGCTCGAATAAAATGATTATTTTTCATACTTAAATAATATGAATGCATTATAATGGATTAAATACATTAATCTATTATTTAGATTGCTTCCATTTTTCTATTGTTAATAATGCTACAGTGAACATCTTTTTGAATAAACCCTGTGTTCATCTCTGATTACTTAATCAAGCTGGAGTCCTAGAAGTGCAATTAATTTAAAGGTTATTTATATTGCCAAATTACTTTCCTGAATGGCGGTAGAAATTTCGGAGTTGCAGTGAGCACTCTTTTTTCCCCTTTTAAATCTGTTTTTATATAATATTGTACTTATAAATGCCAGGCACCATGCTGGCATTTTATTTTCTCATCCTCAAATGTTTTAAAGAACATGGAATATTGTTACCCCAGTTTTACATTTGGGGAAACTGGTGCCAGACAACAGAGCTAAAATTTCAGTTAAATCAGCTAGTAAATGACAAAGCAGACACTTGAACTGAGCAGGGTGGCTTCTTCCACAGCTCCCTTAACAACCATGTGAGACGGCCGGCATTAAATACTGTATTCATGACTTTTACAACTTAAAAGGTAAAAAATAGTTAAAATTTGTATTCAAGGCTTGATGTTTTAGATGTTCTTTGTCTAATTACATTTTTGCCTCCGGACATTGTCTATTAGTATACTGGCCCATTCTCCTATTCTGTATGTTATTTACAATTTGGTACAACTCCAAGTGATAAAAAACCCACAATGATCGTGACATGAAAAAGAAGGACTTTATATTCCATGTAAAGGGAGCCTGAGGTAATCAGTCCAGGTTTGGAAGGACAGTGTGTCTGAACTGTCAGAGATCCAAGTTGGGGCCATCTTGCTCCTTCACTCTTCTTATTATATGGCTTTGATCTTTTTTGGCCAAAATGGCCTTTCAAGGGCATCCACATTCCAACCATCACAAAGAAAGAAAAAACAGAAAAGGAGAAAACATCCTTTAAGAAGATTTCCTGAGAATCACAAATGGCACTTCCACTGACATTTTGATGGCCAGACCACAGTCACATGATCATATACAATCACAATGGAAGTTAGAAAATTTCTTTCTTAACTATGAATGCAATGTTGCCCATGGAAACACAGGGGAACCAATAGGTCCGGGAACAAATATCATTCATTGTCATAAAGTGCTAGTTTTAAAACTTTATTTGTATCTTTTAACATTGTTATAGCAAATAGCTCCCCTGTTGCCCATTTCCTGCTTGTTTTCAAATTTGCTTACACTTCTCTTTACATTTTTTCTTACTTGTAGAAATTTTCAAACCTTGGTCAGGGGTGCTCAGATGGCTCAGTTGGTGGAGCACCAGACTGGCTCAGGTCATGATCTCAAGATTGTGAGATCGAGCCCTGTATCAGACTCTGCGCTCGGCACCAAGTAGGCTTGGGATTTGGGATTCTTTCCCTCTTCCTCTGCCTCCCTGCCACACTGTCCACTCATGTTATCTCTTTAAAATAAATAATAAAATCTTTTAAAAATTTTTTCAAGCTTTGTTCAAAAGCAAAAAGAACAGTATACTGAAACTGATATACAAATCATCCAGCTTTGACCCTTGTAAATTTAGTCAATCTTCTTTCATTTCTTCCTCCTCTCACCCTGGATTATTTACAAATAAATCCTAGATATCATAAATCTTCACCTTCATATATTTGACTAAGTACCTCTGAAAGGTAAAGACTCTTTTTTAAAAAATTGCCACAGCTGGGGTGCCTGGGTGGTTCAGTTGGTTAAGCATCCAACTCTGATTTCCACTCAGGTCATGATCTCAGGGTTGTGAGATCGAGCCCCATGTGGGGCTCCCTGTTCAGCGGGGAGTCCTCTTGAGATTCTCTCTCTCCCTCTCCCTCTGCCCCTACCTCTCCCCATCTCTCTTTCTATCTCTAAAATAAATCTTTAAAAAAATTGCCACAGCTTAAAAAATTATCAATAATTCAAAATTTTATCAAATATATGGCAAGGAATAGGTTTCCACATTGTCTTAAAATATTTTAATTTTTAAAAATTTTTTATTTATTTTTCAATAGGCTCCACACCCAACATGGAACTTGAACTCACAACCCTGAGATCAAGAGTCAATGCTCTACCAACTGAGCCAGCCAGGTGTCCATCTTAAAATATTTTGATTATAGTTTGACTGCTTAAATTGGGATACAAATAAATTCCATAAATTATAATTGCTTGATAATCTCCTAAATTTAATGTTTCTTGGCTTAGCTTATAAATTTTTAGAGTCAAATCTATTAATCTTTTTCTTTATCAATTGTGTATTCTCTTACAAAGTTCTTTCTCAAAGACAAGTTAGTTATTCCCCTATGTTCTTTTAGCATTTATGTCCTCTATTTTTTTCTTTCATATTTAATACTTTAATTCATCTAGAACACATTTTGGTGTGAGGTGAGACTCTGACTTAATACATTTTTCCACAAAACCACTTCTTCAACAGCATTTGCTGAATAACCTATAATTTTTCCATTGTTTCATAACACTTACTTTATAATGCATTAAAGGCTTACATGTATTAGAGTTTATTCCAGAACTTATTCCAGTTAATTGCAAACTCACTCTTCTTCTGAATTTTTATTGGCTCTTTCATTTCTTTCTTCTAGGTTAACTTTAGCATTATTTCTAAAACATGTATTTCTGAAAGAGTTGACATGTTTACAACATTTAGTTTTCTTATCAGACCAAATGAGATGTCCTACTCAAATCTTCATGTTTTTCTGTGAAGTTTTGTCATTCTTTTACTATGCATTGTTAAGGTCATGCTAAGTTTTTGTTTTATTTTGTTTTGCTTCGTATTCACTGGTTGACTAGAATCACTACACACTCAACTTTTTCTCAGTTGTTATTTTAAAATATTCTTTTTGGAATATAACTACTCCATTAAATTCTTTTATCCTAATGATTTTTAACTAATTTTCTTTGATTTTCTAGATGAGATATATTATCTACAAATAAAATATTATTTCCTCTTTCCAAATGTTATTGCACTCTCATTGTTTCTTATTTTATTGTACTGAAAAAAGCTTTCCTAATAATGTTAAGCAACAACAGTGATACTAGATACTGATTTCTCATTTTTATTTTTACATGATCATATTTTTAAAATCAATTAATTTGTTAGAATAAGATACGAACTGGAAATTCTGTTTATGAAATGTTATAACCTTAAAATTTTGCTTGATTGCCTCAACTTTTATTAAGAGCAATTTTTTGAATAAAATCTCATCTTTAAATTATTTTTCCCTAAAAATATACAATTTCAGCCCCTACACCAATTTGTTTCCTATTTTGAAATGGAATTGAGAGTGTCTATATAAATATATATGAGTCTTTTCAAAGCTAAAATACATATTATAAAACTTAAATATTATAGACTTGATTCTTTTCCCCAGAAGTGAGAATGTATTCCTCACTAACAGAGTCAAGTATTATGCCTGTTTTCTGTAGCATCCTGATTTCAAAGAAATCTGTTGTCAGAATTGAATATTTACTATATTATAAGCCTTGGTGAAAAATCAAAAGTATTCTAAACTTAAGAAACAGGAAAAAGAACAAAAATCTATAGGTACACAAATTATCAGAGAATGTTATTCTTAATTTAACTACTTTAGTTTGACCTCTTTAACTTTTAAGTAGATAAAAATATGTTTCAGGTTAAAATACAGGAGCAAAAATTAGTAAGACAGGCTTTTCTTCATATTTCTGCCATCACAGTTAATAATATACTGGTTTATGTAAAAACCCTTGCTCATTTCCAAATGTCAGCTCATCACAGTACTTGCAAAGCTAGTGGGAAACCAAGATTGGAGACCAAACACATGCTGCTAATATCTTTTGAGGAAGGCAGAGCATCTCACTAAAAACAGTTATCGTTACTAAAAGAAATATAGAGGAAACCCAAGTATTCCTTTCATAGATAATTTTCACTTAGGACAGCAACTGCTATCAGGTTTTTTTTAAATTATGAATTATCTATTCTATGTTAGACTTCAAATTAATAAAAAAAAATCTTCTGTGTATTATGTTCAACAATGTAGCATACTGCATTCGGACGAGATTCAACCATTTCAAACCACCTCCTGGGTACACTCAAAGAGCTTGGAGGTGAGAAGCAAACAGTTACGTACATAATAATAAGGGCAACAGTAGAAATTTGTAAAAACTTCATTATTGGCATTTCATTGGAGAGGTCGAGATGTCATGGGAAGAGAGGTTTTTGAGCTGTACCTTAAAGGATGAGCTTAAAAGAATTGACCAAGTAGATGGAAGAAAACAGAAAGCCAAGAGATGTGAAGTGATACCAGGTCATACGTACTCCCAGTTCCTGTGTACCCCATATCCCATGTTCTAACCCTCATCACACATGTAATCTTGGTCTCCCTCTTTAAACCAATAAGCTCCAAAACAGCAGAGACCAAGTCTGTCTTGTTCATGCTATGTTTTCAGTGGCATGTGGTAGTTGAAAAACAAATATTTGAATAAACAAGCAAATGAGTAAATGAGGGAAAAATTAAACCAGAAGTAGTTTTGCATGTTGGATGCAAGGGGGAAAAGAAAACAAAGTGCTAGGAGACAAAGGGAAGGAAGGCTCAGGTACGACAGATGTTGCTCTAAGGCAAAGATTATTTTTCAGAGAGTTAATGAAAAGTTATTCAGAGATTTTCTATACAAGTTGATGTCTTTTTTAAATTTTGTCTTATTTTTCCAGCTTTAGTGGGGTATAAACAAATTGATTTATCAGCAATATTTATATGATTAATATTCTATGCACACCTTATTCACTGATGTAGCTAATATAAATGTATCTTTATTTTCTAGAACATGGCTTTTAAACTTTTTTTGCAAGCAGTAGGATACTTTTTTTTTCCAAAGAGGATATTATCTTAAAACTTAATATAAACAAAGAAAAGGGAGGCCTGCTCTGGCTGAAGCAGAGGCAGGTGGATGAAGGAAGAGAAAAGCTCTGCCTTCTCTACTCAGGCTGCCAGCAAGGGATGATGCATCAAAAGCCACTGTTCTTGAATAGACCAATATCTAACATAACTTTTAAATGGAAGTCTTTAACTGCTTATGTTTTAAAACTGTAACAGTAACCAATTCTTTTACTTGAAGTTCTGATATAAAAATAGTTATAAAAATCTGCCATCTGTTATTCTTTCTATAATAGATTTAAAATTTTCACTTTTCTCTGATGACTAGATATTGTAAATAATCACTATCCATTTTTAAAGTAGTTCATTCCCCCAAAGTAGGTTAAAGCAACTGTGAGTGGCCCAGTAGGCACTGGACAAAGGCAGAAGACTTGGGGACTAGTTTTGGCACTCCCCATAACTGGGATACAATCTTGGTTAAGCCACATAACTAACATTCTCTAGCACCTCACTTACTTTGTTGATAAAATGAAGTGGTTGGAATTACTATTGGATTTCATATTTTTATGGGCACAACTCCAAGTAAGAAATACATTTTAAATTTTGACCAAGCATATACATACATATACAGATAAAACTTCAAAAATTTCATGAACTAATGCTTACCTTGACTCCATGCTATGCTGCCTAATCTATTCTATTCCTTTCTCCTGCGTTTCATTGAAAAATGCTGGTCATGACCCACTAAAAGTCGATTTTCTCTCCCACAGTTTGGAAGCCACTAGACTCTATCTCCATGGCCCTTTCTTCTCTAAAATGATGGAACACTAACATCAAGATCCATGACTGAGATTGTAGAATCTCAGAATGTCAGGCACGTGGTAGATGCTAAATGATCGGGGTTATTTTTGTTTGTTTTTTGTTTGTTTTTGTTTTTGCTTTACCGTATCAAGGAAATTTGACTAAGTGAAATCAAGTAATTTTAATTAAAGTATTTAAGGTGCCAATTCTTTCAAGAAATATTCCCTATTTCTTTTAATTCTCATAAACATCTGTGCCTTTTTTATTATGCTAATATAATTAAATATAACACTAATATAATTAAAAGAGAATATGTGTACACCACATAGTAAATCTCCAACTAAGAAACAACACACATCGAATTTATCAGACACTACCATAAGTAGCCAAAGCACAGTAACTCATTTCCTCTTCACACTCTCTGGTCAAAGTACAGATGGGGAAACTGAGTCTCAGATCACTGAACTAAACAATGAGTAACAGAGGCAGGTACTCTAATTCCAGCGCTAGTGCACCTACCCATAACAGCATAGTGGTTCTAACAAGAGTTAGTGACATATGTCCACTTTCTATGTATATTACAGTTAGTTATACTATTATACTATGCATATTGTCTGATGCTATTAAACAAGCAAGATATTTGATAGTAGAGATGTTTGCCCTTTCTCCTGACACCTTTATCACTATACTCTAATACCAGTTGGATGAACGAAATACCATTTGCTTGTGTGTCTGTGTGTCCATTTACACAAACACAGATTTTGTAGGTAGCCTTAGTTTTTTCATTGCATGTGCACCCTAACCAAACCTAAAATTTATATATTTTAAAGATTAGCTCATTATTAATATGCAAAAATAAAATGTCCATAAGACTACCCAAAAGATCTGTTGTAATTCTTCCAAGCAGTACTAGCTCTAATAGCAACTGAGATTTGCTAAACTCATAGTAGGGATAAATATGCGGTGCTTTCATAATGTTTACATTTATTTATTTGGTCAAGTAAATAGTCAAAATCTGATAGGTAACATAGATTTAAAATGTGACAACCCCAATTTACTCAAATCATAAATATTTTGTTTCGACAAATGTGACACGTGAAAAATCCTTGTCATGTTTCTAATCTCTCCACTGTGGCAGATAATAGCTGTGCGAAATGTGCATTCACTTCTCTGCCACTTTGGTAGGACAATCGAAGGAAGAATAAATACATAAGAGGACTAATGTTGTGTTAAAATACTTCTGGCATATCAAGTGGCCTTTTTCATTGCAGAAGTGGAGTTATAACAAGCACTAAAGAATGGCAAAGCACAGACAACAATGAAAACAGTTACTTTAGAGGATGCATCACAAATGAATCTTGGGACAAAAAACCTGACCAGCGAGAACAATAATCTCTCAAGTTCCTGATTATCAATAAGTAATGAAAGACATAACAAAGTCATTGTTTACTGAAGATGAGTCTGACACAAATATCTTTTTAAAAAAGAAAAAACCTACATCCTTTTGGGTTAACTGTGCCCTCCCCAGGCAGTTCTGTAACGTATATTTATTATTCACATACTTACCAGGGGTACCAAACTGGATGCAATTTTCCAGAGTCCTGACATAGTCAGGATCATTTAATTTAATCAGATGAAGACTATTGGTTTTTTCCATGTTCTTGATCCATTTATTAGCCTGGCCTTGAGGATCTATCATCAGAGGCCACCTTCTTGCATTCCTGGAAGGGGGAAGAAAGACAATGCTGGCCAAGTCATGATTTGTCTCTAGGCTACTAATCATGCACACATCTCTTTCTTATAGTTTATGCTTTACAGTAATATTTTACTTTTTAACTTATTGTCAGAAACTATGATCTTATAGCAGAGACATTTAGATTGAGCAGGCTATTAAAATGACAACTCTAAAAAAAAATCACCTGGCAAACACGTTTTTTACTTCTTTTGGAAAATCACAATTCTCTAAAGGTTAAATTACATTTTTGAAAAAAAAAATTGCTGCTCTTGCTAGTTAATTCAATTAATTAACCATCAAGAATACTGCAAATCAGGAAACTCCAGTTCTTCACTAGGCCCTGCCCTTCATTAATTACTCCTGTGACCCTGAACAAGTCATCTCCATTTCTTGGCTTCGATCTGCTATTATTTGTACAAGAGGGAAAGAGAAAGGATTGAGACATCATCTCTCTCTTTTTGAAATCTAGACCATTAAAGATATAATGGTTTAAAAAAAAAAAGGGTAAAAAGCCTGATTTTAATCATCTTACCTTCTTGGACCCTAAAGTGTTAACACAACTGTTGATCCAGGATTTATTTCAAACACTTGTATATGTCATATTTGTAATTCATTACATATTTGTGAGCTTCCTACAGACAGAAATACATTCTCTGAAAGTCCGTTTTTGCACTCTGGTGAGCTCATACTTCCTGCTATATTGTCACCTCCCTCTTTTATAAGAACAAGAGCAGTAAACCATGAGGCAGCCAGCTTATCTTCCAGGGTGCTGTGGGGTCACACAGAGTTAGCCAAGATCTGCCATCACCAAATGGTATCCAACCATCTAGCTCTCTGCATTGTGTGAAATGGAATCAGCATTAAGATTACTGTTTTTTTCTCTTGGAAGTTTCAGTAAACACAAGCCATAATTTTGGCCACGTTCCTACAGATACTGTCATAGTCTTCAAAAGTGAGCACAGAAAAAGTACACAGATTGTTAGAAGAGCAAAAGGAGAAAACAAAAGGCGACTGGGGCAAAAATAAAACAAAACAATGTGGGGCTAGAAAGGGTAATTGATTTGATTTCATCTCATTATAATATGAATTTAGAATTTTATTGAATAATCTGTCCCAAATGGAAGTAATCATGCTAAAGCATTTAAGTTAGAACCTAGCATAAAACACATAGCTTATATGATAAAGAAGATAGTCTAGTCCTCCAATATTGGCATTGTATGATGTAATAGTCAGCTTGAAATTGAATGACTCCCTCTTCTTTCTGTTGTTTCCACAATTTTTAACCATGATACGTTCACGCTGTTCCTTTGTCCAAAATGCACTTCTTCATTTTTTCATGTTCAAGTCCTACTCATGTTTCAAGGTCAGTTCAAATGGTATGCGATACACAAAGTACCATAGACTGTCTTAACAGAAATTTATTTTCCCACAGTTCTAAAGGCTGGAAGTCCAAGATCAAGGTGCTGGCAGGTTTGGTTTCTTTAGAGGCCTTTCTTTTTGGCCTGCAGAAACATAGCTCTCTTGCTGTATCCTCATGTGGGCCTTTCCTCTGTGCGTGCATTCCTGGTATCTCTGAATATAAGGACACCAGTCCTATTGAATTAGAGCTCCACCCTTATGACACCACTTATCCTTAATTACCTCCTTAAAGGCCCTCTCTCCAGATAGTCACACTGGGGGTAATACAGTCAACATGTGAATGGGGAGGGTGGACAATTCAGTCCACACCATAATGTTAGTTATATTTAGTAAGAAATGAGACCGAAAGAGTAGTGTAATATCTTAAATGTAATCAACTAATAAAAAGAGAACCATATCCATAAGAAACTAAAGGGAGTGAGAAGGAAAATTAGAAAGAAGTAAAACTTATAAATATGTAAGTTTCATTCTGTTACATTTTAGAAATATTTTTAAGTTGGGAGGGTTATGTGTGTTAGCATTTATGCTTCCCTAAAGAAACTGAATGACTCACTCTTCCTTCTGTTGCTTCCATAATTTTTAACCACAATACCCATGTTGACACTGTTCCTTTGTCCCAAATGCACGTCTCATCCTTTCGTGTTCAAGTCCTACTAACATTTCAGGGTCAGCTCAAATGTTATGCAATACACAAACCCATCTTGGTTTCTTTTCTCTCATAACCTCTTTAGCAGTTCATCCGTATTACATTTATGGCACTCTGAATAAATGATCATATTCTGTTACGGTAATTTTACAATTTGTTAATGGCATCACTCATCTAAATTGGATATTCTTTGAGGGAAAGGTCCACTGTGATTCTTCTTTATCCCTTTTCCCTAGATCTAATAAAGTGTGATAACCTACTGGAAGGTAAACAACAAAAAGCATCTGGCAAACATCATACAGGTTAACAGATTCTTAAAACAGGCATTTTCTAAGCAGTCATCCCTGCATGGGGAATACCAGTCCAAAGAACACCATCTCAAATTTGGAGGAAAGGATTCTGGTGCTGACTAACCTGGGCTAAGTCTGCCATAGCCTTTCTCTTTGACTGATTATGATATTATCCATTATAATGGATAAAATGCAAAATTTTACTTACAGATTCTAAAAACTAAATAATAAAAAGTGAATGGGAAGAAAGTTAAAACTTGAGGAATGACCAATAAGGGGGTAGTACGTTTCTTGTGTGTTTGTCATCGTTGTTTTTTCCTTTCTATCTTCTGGCTTTGGTTGAAAGACAGGCCTAATGGGGGACCTGGGCAAGAGGCCCAGGTAGCAAAAATTCAAACTAGAAGACAGAAAATGATAATGTGTGAGCTGGAGGGGGTGGGGCAGCCACAGAACTGTAATCCCACACAGAAGCAGGGATAGTGCAGGCACTACACTGAGAGAAAACCCATCACTGTGGATAACAGAGCTGGGCAACGGGGCCTGTGCTGTGCATGGTGGGTAACCATAATCTTAGTCTGCTCAGGCTGTCCCAACAAATGACCAGAGACTGGGTAGCTTAAACAACAGACATTTTTCACAGTTCTGGAGGCTGGGAAGCCCAGGAATCAAGGTCCCAGTCCAGTGATCTGGTTTGCAGATGGCAGTCTTCTCGCCACCTCCTCACATGGCAAACAGCAGAGTGATCATCCCTCTGTGTCTCTTAAGGGCACTACCCCCGTTCAAGACTCCACCCTCATGTCCCAATAACCTTCCAAGGCTGCAACTCCAAATGCCATCACAATGGTGACTTAGGCTCAACATATCAATTTGGTGGACACAAAGATTTAGTCCAAAGCAGGAGGAACCCCAGTATTTTCCTTTTTAACTCTTGCCGCTTTGCCCCAAGTATGGACACGTGTCATACAAAAGTTTGGGAAGCTGAAACTCTGAGGAAATGCCATCATTTTGGACAGAAAAATACAGACAAAGGGGTCCCTGGGATATGGAAAGTAAGGGAGAAATTCTGGAGGAGTCAGACCCAAAGAAAGGATTCCCTAATTCAGACACAAGTTCTGAGCTCACCACCAAGCTCTACATGTGTAAAACACATCCAAAGAAGCATACCAAAGGCTTTGGGCTATGATATAAACCTGAGTCCCAGACAAACCCCTGATTAATGCATGCTGAGAAGTGTATCTAGACAGCATAGCAAAGGTTTTTAGTTATGACCTGACACTGGAAACATCATCCACAGAAGGAAAGCAACTGAACCTAACCAAGTTGATTGACTACTGAAACAAAAATTAGTCTTATCCAGAAGATTTTAATAGGAACCAGAATTTCATTCAAAAGGTCCAGGGTTCATCAGAAAGGGTGAATACCCACCATTTCCATCAACATGGATGGAACTGGAGGGGATTGTGCTAAGTGAAATAAGTCAAGCAGAGAAAGACAATTATCAAATGGTTTCACTCATATGTGAAACATAAGGAATAGAGCGGAAGACCACAGGGGAAGAGAGGGAAAACTGAATGGGAAGAAATCAGAGAGGGAGACAAACCATGAGAGACTCTGGACTCTGGGAAACAAACTGAGGGTTACAGAAAGGTGGGGGGTGGGGGGAATGGGGTAACCGGGTGATGGGTATTAAGGAGGGCACGTACTGTGATGGGCACTGGGTTTTATATGCAACTAATGAATGGTTGAACACTACATCAAAAACTAATGATGTACTATATGTTAGCTATCTGAATATATAAAAAAAAAAGTTCCAGGGTGTAATCCAAAATTACCTGACATACAAAGAGCCAGAATAGGACTAATTCTCAAAGAAAAAGCAAGATGCTGGAATTACCAGGAAAAAAAAACACAAAACTTTAAAGCAGTTATTATAAGCATCCTCCACAAGGTAAAGGTGAACATTAAATAAATAAATAAATAAATGATCGGGGCACCTGAGTGGCTCAGTTGGTTAAGCATTGGACTCTTGATTTCTGCTCAGGTCATGATCTCATGGGCCATGAGACTGAGCCTTGTGGCAGGCTCCGTGCTAAGCGGGGAGTCTGCTTATTATTTCTCCCTCTCTCTCTGCCTCTCCCCTGGGTTGAGCTCTCTCTCTAAATAAATAAAATCTTTAAAAATAGATAAATGGAAAGAGGTGTTTGTAGCAGAGAAACAGAAAAAATAAAAAGAACTAAAAGGGAATTTTAGAGCTGAAAAATTCCTGAAATAAGAATTCCAGTATAAGGATTTGATTGTAGAAAGGAGATGACAGAGGAAAGTTAGTGATCTAAAAGACAGATGCATACAAATAATCTAATTTGAACACTTAAAGAGAAAAAAAAAAAAAGATAAAACAAACAGAGCCTCCAAGACCTGTGAGAAAATATTAAGAGATTTATTCATGTGATGGGGGTCCCAGGAGAGGAGAAAGAGATTAATACAGAAAACATATTTGAAAAAAATAATGACTGAAACTTTTTCAAATTCAGTGAAACACATAAATTTACAGTTTCACAAAGCTGAGCAATCCTCAATAAAGGAGAAACTAAGAAACAAAAACAAAAATAAAACACAAAAATGCACACACCC